GACATTTACATAGAGGTAAGACTAGACAAGCTCGTTCACCCATGTAGAAAACAAAACCCATGCCTGAGGTTTGCTTTTTAATGTATAGTCCACAGTCGTTCCTGAGGTCCATTGTTAAATGAGATCTGCAAAGGCACTGATGCTTCTGCACACTCCATCTGTCCTTTGCACCCTCAAGAGGAACTCCCTGGAACAGTCATGGCCACGTAAGGCCAGCATCCCACAGATCTTTTCTCCACTTTCTTCGGTCACCTGCTGCTCTATAATTCAGGGAAGCCAGTTGTGTGCAGCAGATTGAGCCAAGACAGGTGATTTCTGCCAGAATGTCCAGGATTAAGATCTTAGAAGATTTGGTTCAGCACTCTACATTTGTCACCATATTTAGTCACTGAGTTTAGCAGGAACCTCTTTGCCAAGGCTTCAGAAAAGACACAGCTGAAAGTCTGATGCTTCTAATACTAATCATTTATTCATGCACCTCCCCACCCAAAGTGCTAATCCAGATAGCTATGATAATTAAAAGACACATCAGCCTCCACCACAGACAAGGGACTAAAGGACTGAGTAGGTGACTAAAGGGACAACAAATCACACAACACAGGAAAAATAATCAACAGGACAGCATAAGACTATGGCTTCAGAGGATTAACAAAGAGAAAGACAGATGGCTCTGGGACTAGTCAAGAGGAGCCAGGGAGGTCCAAAGAGGGGATGGGTTGAGCGTGGCTGTTTCAGTTGGTGGAGTGAGGAGAAAAGGATGGAGTCCTGTGGACCACCATGGGCTTTGAGGTTGCATTGATCTGTGCCCAGGTTTTGGTTAAGTCATGTCCTGACGATGTCATTTTTAATAAACTAATCTGTGTAAATGTAAATTTCTTAATCTGTAAAATGGGGATGATTAATACCTAACTATGGCAGAGTGTAGTGTGAAGAATAAAAAGGATGATGCATAAGAGTTATCAGAGCAGGGATGATTACGACCTAAGCAGAAGCTACCTGTTAGCCTAATGGGATCAGAGGCTACATGGAGAGACAACCTTAAAAACTTATGATGAGGCCAATTAAATGTGAGCTTCAGATATCCAGCAAAAGAGTGTGGGTCTGGAGTAGGGAATCATCAAGATTCATAATTATGTGGATAATATAATAAAAAAAAGTGTTTTGAAGGTTGGGCTGGGAGGATGAATAATGGTAGTCAAAATGTTATGAGCACTTACTATGTACAGGCTCTGTTGGAAGTGCCTTAAGCATTATCTCATTTAATGATACTACAGAAAAAAGGGCAGAGAATGAATGACTGACACAAGGAAAGCTAAGAGGCAATGAGAGGAGTAAATGGTGGGGGAAGAGGAACTTGAGCGGCATGGTGACTATATAGGGAGAGATAAAGGAATGTGGTTGACGTGGGTCACATGTGGCTAATACCTTAAGGCTAGAGAGCATGAGTCCACAATTAAGATGAAAAGTCATGGAAAGCAGAAGTTGTGACTAAGAATACTTCCTACTGACAATTCCCTTTGGTTGTCAACTTCGATTTACTTCTTCAGTTCCCTTTACTCTCTGGCTCTCCATGCCTCTCTTTGTGTTGCTACTGGAAGGAATCCAATGGAATCTCTTACATTTTTTGACAATATGTACATGCTTCAAGGCCCTTTGCTATTTTTTTTTTAGTTCTTGATTTTCTCCACTCACCCTAAAAATTGATACAGTTGCTCTTTTGATTTTTCAGTTTGCACCGTGCCTTCAGCTACTAATCCTACAAAATACATGTGAAAACACCAAAGAGGCAAAAAATGCTATAGAATTCATGTGGGACTTATTGGGAAAACCATTAAACTAAGATCATTCTCAACTTTCCAGAATGAGACATAATTAAAAATTGTTACTACAGTTAGAAAGAGAGTGGGGAAAAAAACTGTTTCAGAGCTGGGAGACATTCTGGGCTTCTCAGTCCACAACAATTCTCTTATAGATAAGTCACACAGTGCTGAAAACAAGATTTTTTTCCTGGATATGTGACAGACCCTTCCTAAGTGACAAAATGGGTCATAATTTTAATGTCCATTGTGACACCTATCAGTTATCCTTGTATGTGAATGTGACTGTGGAGTGTGCAAAAGTTGGAGAGTGGCTAAGTTCAGTGAGCAGATTCCTGTGTATCTGTTGACAATTGTCAAGAATCTAAATGACCCATTTAAGGTAAAATTAATTTAATGTTTAAAAAGAACCTCACCTGCATATGCAAAACACCTCTATCTTAGGATCAGAGAAAGTTACAGAGCAACCCACAGTACAATAAGGCAGTGAAGTATACTAATGGAGAAAGGGGGAAAACACCTTGGAATTCAGAGCAGCAGAAGTTAAAATTATCAATGGAAGCTCTTGTTGTCATGGAAACCTGATGCAACAGAGGGGCCAGGAAAGCCATTGTTTAGTTGTATCAAATGGAAAGGTTCGGATGCTATTCAGAATAATTGAAATTGTCTGGGCAGATGACTTCAAGCAACCAGTAACCAAGTTAGTGATGGATCTAAAAATTACAAAGAAAATCCCTGATAATGAAGGTAAGGAAGTGAGAAATCCAGTGGTCCCAAGAAGAGAAAAGGAAATCCCTTTGGGCTCATGTATACCAGGGAAAGAATAGACAAGAAAAGACTAATTAGCATCTGTTGGGTCTTCTGATATAATAACGATAACACTTAAATTGTATAGGAAAGGAGGAAAATTAGGAAACAAGAACATGCTTTCATGATAGTATTAATCACACTGCACTGTATTAATTGCTAATATATTTATCTCCCTACAGACTCTGAGTTCTTTAGAAAGGGTCTGTGGCTGTGTTTATCACTCTCCACCCTCTCCAACCCCCAGCCGAGCACACAGTAGGCACTCACTGCTTGGTGAGTGCTAGTAATGGTGACTGTTTATTGAAAAGTGTGATGTGAGAGCCACTGCAGTGAGCTGTATTAGTTTGCTAGGGCTGCCATAACAAAACAGCACAGACTGGGTGGCTTCAGCAACAGAAGTTTATTTTCTCACAGCTCTGGAAGCTGGGAGTCTAAGATTAAGGTGTTGCTGGATTTGGTTCCCTCTGGGGGCCTCTCTCCTTGGCTTGCAGAGGGCTTCCTTCTTGCTGTGTCCTAGCATGGCCTTTCCTCTCTGTGCACACCCTTGGTGTCTCTGCTCATAAGGATGCTAGTCATATTGTATTAAATCACCACCCTAAGGCCTTGTTTTAACTTAACCATCCATTTAAAGACCTTATCACAAAACATGGTTACATTCCTAAGTATTGGGGCTTGGGGACTTGAACATACGAATTTTAGGGGGGATACAATTCAGTCCGTAATACAAGTGTATAGGTTGCTTCATCTAATTGTCAGCACAATATTAATATAGTTACTTTGCAGGAGAGGCCATTTGAATTTCAGAAAGGTCAAGTAACTAGTTAGCGGCCACACAGCTAGGAAAGGGCCAAATAGGGATTTAAACCCAGGTTACTGATCTCAAAACCAGTTTTCTTTATAATGAATGAAGTAAGATAATCAAAGATGAACTGGGAAAGTTAAGCTAATAGGTATAATGCTATCATCATCATTAGGCTTAGGAGGTAAAGGTAACCAAAAGATTCTGCGGGACTCCTTCATTTCACAGATGAGACTGAGCCTCAGGGAGGGAAGGCAGGTTGGTCCCTAAGGGCTCCTTGTGTCTTAAACGCTCCAGCTCTGTTTCTTAAGAGTTGTTCTCTCAGACAGGATCAGGTAAATTCTTCTAGCCTCTAGGTGAAAGACCAGAAAGACCTTCTGAGAAGAGCAACAAGAACACACTGGAGCCAGCCTCATGCACAGTCCAAAGCGTGATGGAAATCTGCGCAAAGACTAGAGTAGGTTTTATGTTCTCATGGTGGTAAAAACATGCTTTGTTGCTGTTTTTGCTTGCTGCAGTGTGTTTTTATGGCCAAAGCTGGTCTTTTTCTAGTAAACTCTGCTGACCTATTCCTGTTCATTTAAACAGAATTTCATGAGAATTAAGTGGTAAAACTGCAGCATGTTTTTGTGAATTAATAAAAAAATGGAAATGACTTTGAAAATTCCAGTGTAATCCTCTTGATTCTCTAAGTAAGTGGTGGTGTTTTATTTCCATTGTTAGAGGTTAGAGGTCCTTCCAAGTCACCAATCTCCAGGCCTCTGCCATTTGAATAGAATGCATTTATAAACTGATGCAGAGAGAAAAGGTGGCAGCTGTCAGATCCTGTCTCAGTCTCTGGCCACAACATGCCTTCCACTGCATTTTGCATATTTTTCAACTAGATCAAACCCATCTGTGGAATCCTCCTCATGAGGAACAAAGGTCTTTAAGAAGAAGGTTTCTCCTGCAGGCTTATAAGCACTTTAGCTCTGGCAGGGGAAGGCTGTTCCCTGCCTGGGGCAAGTTCTCTATGAATGAGATGAAACCAAATTAGGACAAGGGGAAGAGCAGGTTGGGAGAAGGACTTTTATTGCTCACAGGCCGCTGGAGATCACTAGCCAGCCCTCACTCCATCCATCCCCTCCAGCAGTGGCATGCGGTCTCCCTTCCCTGCCCACCCCTTCCAGCAGGAATTCCACAGGCAGGTCCCTGGTGACAGACACCAGACCATTTACATACCAGGAATGGAGGGGAGGAGAGAATGGCTGTTTTCTCTCCACCCATTGCCCCAGACTGACCAGAGGCTCTGCCATGGTAAACATCCATTGGTATGTAAATGAACTAAGGTCATGTGGAAGATGCTGGAAACTCTGGGGGAAACTCCCATTTACCAAACAGCACCTAAAGCTAACAGGTTGATTGGGGGTCCATAATGTTGGGAGATATGGAACCCTGCAGCTCTCTGCATTACCCTTGATCAAATCAGCACACCTTACCAATGAACAGGGCATGTTCCTGGGTATTGTGTGCTGATCATTGGGGCTTGTTACTTTCTGTAACTATTTCTCTCCTCCTCTGCACTAGATTTCCTCATGAGCTCTGGAGCAGAAGAGGGAGGGACCCAAGAATTTTCCTCAAATTAAAGGCCCTACAGGTAAATGCAACTGATGTAACAGGACTCTTTGGGGATGGATATTATGCCCCTCTTTCAGCAAGACAGTTTCAAACACCAGTAAATTCTAGTCATTCCTAAAAAATGATCTTGCTACCTTGCAATTTATGGCACACAGCTCTCAGTGAAACGCAGTGAGGCCCTATGGTAAAGCTTCTTGCTGTGGAGTCAGTCACGGTACAGACAAGGCCACACAGGCAGTACTGGAAGCCGCTAGGGGAACTGCGGTTTGGGATGGATGGAAACAAAGAGGAGGTGCCAAAGGGGAGACAAGGAAGTTCTCGTTAATTCCGTAAAGTTCAACATTTACTGACCCGCTATGTTCCAGGCAAGGTGCCATACTCTGGTGGAGTGCTAACAAAATAATGCTGTTTCTCCCTAGAGGTGTTCAGGGTTAAGATTAAGCTTTTTTTTCTTCAAATAATACAATCATGAGAATCTGCTCTTTTCCCGATCTGCGACTTCTACTTTTTCAAATGATATTTGTCACCTTAGATGTTTAAAAAGGAATCTCAGAAGTGAAAACAAGCTCTTCCACCCTTAATTAATGAGTCATATAGGAAATATATACCTATGCTGGCAGATATATACATATGTATCTGCTACATATATACATATATCTATTCAAGTGTTGCTATACATTTTACAGAAGCCAATATTTTTTTAAAGTTCAGATCCTATGATTAAGGAATAGAAAGTAGAAACAGCATCATTTTTTTCTCTTCTCTACTTTGTAGGAGAAAGGGAGGATTTGCATATCTCAAGAGGAAGTTCTTCAGTGCACAGAGCCTGTTTCTTTTCTCTCTGCAGGCTCAGCTTCAGCTTCAATAGAGCTCAAACCCTGCATATGACAAATAGAATATGAGCAATTAAATAATTACCATGTCTGTGCTCTCTACAGAGAAAAGGAAGAAGGGTAGGCATTGACAGACACAAAATCAGAATAAAAACTGCTTTCACAGAAATTATAAGGTGCATCCTGTTTCTTGTCATCTCGCCCCAGCTAAGAAAAGAGACTTTAATTAATCTCAGAGAAAAAGCAAAGTGAATGACACTCCTATGGCCAGGCCTAGACAGGGCACCTAGGAACAAGTAAAAAGCCACTTTAGGGAGAAATTAAAGCTCCTCTTTCCAGCTTCTGGAGAGGAACTGTTAATGTTTTTTCTCTTACTGACACACTTGTTCTCTTCTCAAGAGTTCATTTCAATCCTTACTACTGCTGTCATTATTTTGGTTCTTCACTAAGAAAGTTGGCTGGCTTAAAAGTCATTTCGGACTGAAGTTAAAGATCTGTCTTATCCTCAGTTTTTCCTTACTTGTCTCCTGTTGTATTTTCTCTTTAGAAAGGTGTTAAGTCATGAACATAATAAGAAAATGAATTTGAATTATTACAGGTAAGCTTTTGGTTTTAAGTGAATATCAACTGTAAAAGCCTGGAGTGGCATTTCTCAAGTGTAAAAATTGGACTGCTGGTCTTAGAGCCATCTGGGGATTATTATTTTGTATAACAGCTTTACTGAGATAGAATTTATGTACCATGCATTTCCTCTGTTTATAAAGTGTACAATTCAATGGTTCTTAGCATATTCACAGAGGTACACATCCATCAACACAACCAATTTTACAACATTTTCATCATTCCCCAAAGAAACCCCCCTCAACCCATTAGGAGACACTCTCCATTTGCCTCTGATTTCCTCAGTTCCAGGCAACCAATAATCAACTTTCCATCACTATGGATTTGATTATTTGGGATATTTTACATAAATGATCATACAATATATGATCTTTTGTGCCTGAGTTCTTTCACTTAGTATAATGTTTTCAAGGTTTATTGATGTTGTAGCATATATCAGTACTGCATTTCTTTTTAGTACTAAATAATAATCCACTGTTTAGATCTACCTTTGAAAAAAACATCTTTGACAGACAATGGGTTTTCCCTTTGAGGCTATTATGAATAATGCTGCCATGAATATTTGTGTATGAAGATTTTTTTGAACACATGTTTTCAGTTCTCTTGGATACATTATCTAGAAATGGAGTTACAGGCTTGTTGGGTTATTCTATGCTTAACCCTCTGAGGAACTTCTAGACTGTTACAAAGTGGCTACACTGTTTTAAATTTGCACCAGTAGTGTGTGAAGATTGTAGTCTTCCCACATCCTTGTCAACACTTGTTATTATCTACCTTTTTGAATATCGTCAGCCTAGTGGGTGTGAAGTGGTAGCTCATTATGGTTTTGATTTGCACGTCCTTGATGGTTGGGATTATTGTTAAAAATGCATATTCCAGGGCTGCAAACTGATGCTGAATTAGAATCTGTGAGTCTGCATTTTACTGAGAGTCACACATCAGTTATTTTTCCTGCATAACAAATATTTATTACCTCTCACAGTTCCTGAGGATCAGATATTTGGGAGAGGCTTGGCTGAGTATTTCTAGTCTGGGATTTCATGAGGCTCAGTTACATATCAGCCAGGGCTGCAGACATTGAAAGGCTTGACTTGGGCCAGAAGATCCACTTCCAGGGGATGCTTTGTAGACATGCAGTCTGTGCAGTTATACAGGACACCACGCTCAGAAGGGTTTTACATACTTGATTTAATGCACTGCTGTTGCCATCTTATAATTCTTAACAACTTGTTGTCTTTGATTTTATGCTTTATAAGTCAAGTCCTGTGGGACAAGGGAGCATGTGTAGGCAGACAGGGTTTGTACAATATGTGTGTCTGTGTTCCTTGGGGCCCCATTTGCTTGATAATTGAGTACCCACGGACACAGAATACTGGTGGACCCATGATGTGTGCGAGTTCTGTGAGACTCAACATAAGTATAAGGCAAGCATGTTATGTTTACAACTATGGGTAAACACTTCCTGTTAGAACAGCAACCTGCTATGAACACAGTAAAGTCTGCATTTGGCCTTGGACATGAAGGAGGGAAAGAGAAAGGATAAAGCTAGCAAGATGACCGAAGCTTTGTAGTGCACTATGGGCGCCCTCCCTGTTCCTTTTCAAACCTTTAGGAAAGCTCCCAACCCTGACAGATGCTTTGTGGGAGTATTTTATTGTGAAAACCACTGGAAAGTTTTAGTTTGGAGTATGAGTGGATTTAAGGGAAAAGAGAGACAGTGCAAGTGGGTGCAGGATTGCAAGATCTCAAGTACTGTTCAGGGCAGATTTGGATCAGGGATCACAATGCTGAGCCTAACTGAAATCCATTGATCCCCTCAACTTAGTTTTAGCTGAACAAGAGCAACAGAGAGGAGGAGGATAGCCTCGTGGAGGCTGTGGGAGGGCACCAGGGACCAGTAACAACATGAAACATTGGCATTTGAAGACTATAAGGCCAAGAGGAAAAGGGAATGGAATGTTCTGGTCTCTAGTTGCCATTGCCTGAGTCTTGGCATGGCTTGCTCCGTTCGCTAATTGGGGCATAGCTTACCATCATTCACTAGTGACAGAATTTCCTCATCCCGACTCCATTGAAAACCCACTGCAGGAGCAAACCTGCTTGTCAAAGCACTGGCTCCAGCAGTGTAGTGCTCTTCAACCTGCGTGCGTTTATGCCTGAGGAACACTGGGTATAGCAGGATGCTGTGCAAGGCCAGGTCAGCAGGCACAGGATTCACTCAGTAGTGCCTTACTGACAAGCTCCTGCTTTGCTATTTCAAATGACCAGCAGAAAGACAACCACACCATGGCTTGGAGCCAGAGGCTTTTCTTCTTGTACACAGAATGAAAGAGAAAACTGTTCTTGCAATTTATTTTATATTTCAAAATCAGTAGATTACTACAGAGCAATATTTATTATTACTTTAACCTGTGTTACATGAAGGTGGCTATATATTTGGCTTTGTACATATTTTTAACTTAGTTACACGTGTGCTTTGACCTCCATGTAGCTCAACGTGTACTTTGGTTTCCAGACTCACCTACCCAATTTTTTACTCTTCAGTTTGGATGTCCAAAAGAGCATCTCAAACTAAACACATCTAAAACCAAACTCTTAATTTCCCATACACTTCAGTTCCACCCAGCCAGCCAAACCTGTTTTCATCTCATTAGATGGTACTCCTCATTCCGACACTCAGGCCAACACCTATTATCAACCCTTATACTCTGCACTTGACCAACCTTTGTCTGGAAGAATCCTCACTAAGATATTGCCATTCCTCACTCCTCACACCACTCCTGTCTCTCTGACCACCCTATGTCCTCTGCCCTGTCATTTTCCTCTTGTTACCTGTATTGTTTTCTCATAGTATTATCACCATGAGAAGTTGTATATTTGTATATTTACTTTTTGTCTCTGTTCCTTTTTGAAAATGTAAGCTCTTTGAGGATAGGGACATTCTTTTGCTCATTGTTATATGCACAAGGTACTTACATATAGAAGGTTCTCAATAAATATTTGTTCAATGAATTAATGAACAAATACATAATTGTTTGGGTGTAGATTCAATTTGTACTTGTGGACAAACTGAAGTTGGGCTTGAGGAGACACAGTAAATGAAATTCAATGGGAATCTCCTTAGTGGAGTACTTACGTGATGATTTCATGGGATGTTTTCTCTCTGGTTAGTCTTAAATCTAGAGGAAAAATAGAAAAATATATCTAAGAAACATTTACTGAGCATTGCTCTGTGCATAGTGTTATGAGGTATTTAAATGTACATGAAGACACAGTTCTTTCAAGAATATTGCAGTCTTACACATTACATCTCTAAACTAATCCACTCGGGTGAAAAATCCTCAAATGTCTTATTCCTCCATTTAAAAAAAATAAATTATAATCAAATAATCAAGTAATTATTTCATTCTTATATTTAAAAATGAAACATATATCACAAATAATTCAAACATTACAGAAAGGTATAAAAAAGAAGGCAACAAATCACTTTGAACACCACCAGAAATAACCAGTGTTACCAGATGAACATCTATATAGAAGAAATCAGAGGTTACATAGAAAGAGGAAAAGAAATTGGTTGATAAAGATGAGGTAATGCTATACATGGTGTTTTAAAAATGAGAAGTGATTAATTTTTGACTTAACAATACTTTTATTACCCTAAAAAGCTTCTGTGCCCTTCTATGCATCCTTTCGTCCCCCTTACCTCCTGGGAACCACTGTTTTTGTTTATATTGCCTCCATTGTTTCACATCTTTGAAATGTCAGATAGTTGGCATCAGAGAGTATGTAGTCTTTTAACATTGGTTTCTTTCTTACTAGTATGTATTTAAGGTTCTTCCATGTCTTTTCATGAATTGATAAAACTCATTTCCTTTTTTATATTAAGGTATCATTGATATACAATCTTATGCTCAGGTTTCACATGAGCAACACTGTAATTACAACATGCACCTAAACTATCAAGTCCCCACCCCCACCCCACTGCAGTCACTGTCCATCAGCACAGTAAGATGCTATAGAGTTGATACTTGTCTTCTCTGTGCTGTACTGTCTTCCATGTGACTCCCATACATTATGTGTACTAATCATAATGCCCCTTAATCCTCTTCTCCCTCCCTCCCCACTACCCTCCCCAATCCCTTCCCTATAGTGACCGCTAGTCCCTTCTTGGAGTCTGTGAGTCTGCTGCTGTTTTGTTTCTTCAGTTTTGCTTTATTGTTATACTCCACAAATGAGTGAAATCATTTAGTACTTGTCTTTCTCCACCTGGCTTATTTCACTGAGCACAATACCCTCTAACTCCATCCATTTTGTTGCAATGGTAGGATGTATTTTCTTCTTATGACTGAATAGTATTCCACTGTGTATATGTACCACTTCTTCTTTATCCATTCATCTTCTTGGGTTGTTTCCATATTCTGGCTATTATAGTTAGTGCTGTGATAAACATAGGGGTGCATATGTCTTTTTGAATCTGGGATCTTATTTTCTTCAGGTAAATTCCTAGGAGTGGAATTTCTGGGTCAAATGGTATTTCTATTTTTAGTTTTTTGAGGAACATCCATATTGCTTTCCAACAATGGCTGAACTAATTTACATTCCCATCAACAGTTTAGGAGAGTTCCCCTTTCTCCTCATCCTCACCAGCATTTGTTGTTCCTTGTCTTTTGGATGGTGGCCATCCTTACTGGTGTGAGGTGATATCTCATTGCAGTTTTAATTTGCATTTCCCTGATAATTAGTGATATTGGGCATTTTTCCATGTGCCTGTTGGCCATCTGAATTTCTTCTTTGGAGAAGTGTCTGTTCAGATCCTCCACCCATTTTTTTATTTGGGTTATTTGTTTTTTGGGTGTTGAGGAGTGTGAGCCCTTAATGTATTTTGGATGTTAACTCCTTATCAGATATGTTATTTAAGAATATATTCTCCCATACTGTAGGACGCCTTCTTGTTCTGCTAATAATATCCTTTGC